AAAACATTCAACCTTTGATTTTCTGAGTCTGGTGTGTTTCGTTTAGCATGAGAGAGTCTCCAGTTTGGTCCATTTACCAGCAAATGCCATAATTCATTCTTCTTTATGGCTGAGTAATACACCATTGTGTGTGTGTGTGTGCGTGTGTGTGTTTGTGTGTATGTATCAGAGTTGAAGTGTCAGAAGTTTAGATCTATCACCTTAACCCTGAGTATATACCCAAAAGAATCAAGGACATATTCTATTTGTACACAAAAATATTTACACACTAATTTTATGGCAAAATTATTAATAGCCAAAGATGAAATAAACTGATATGTCCACAATTTAATAAATAATAAACAAATGCAGTATATCCATAAATGGAATATCATTTCCTCCTAAAAGAGGGAATGAAGAACTGATAGATGCTATAAAATGGGTGAATGTTTAAAATGTTATGCTAATATAAAGAAATCAGATACAAAAAGCCACATTTTATCCATTTCTATGAACTATCCTGAAAAGACAAGTCCATAAAGACACAAGATATTAGTGAATTCCTAAAGGAAGGACAGAAACGGAACAACTGTAAATGGGCACAAGGAATCATTTTGAAATGATAAAAATGTTCTAAAATTGTGCTACGTCAATACTGTAGTACTCTGAATATATACGGAAATTATTTAATTTCTACACTTTAAAAGCATGAATTTTCTGTATGAATTATATGTCAATAGGACTATCATTAAAAATACCAACAGTCTAGGTCTCTTCAAGACATCATGCCAAACTTTTTGATACTTTTTTTTAAAGATGAAGCAGTGGCAGTTTTTCACATTGCAGAAAGATTGACATTTAAAAAAAATGCCTTGTTCACACAGTATTTCATTTGAAATCCAAAAAAAAAAAAAATCCATGAGATATATTATCTTTTAAACTTATAGATAAAGAACATTGATGATCCCCAAACAATTCGCACAATTTGCACACTCTCATACATCAATAATCACATGGTCAAGATTTGAACCCAGACCTTATGATTGATAATCTCCTGCACTGGCTGTCAGGTAGCAATCATTGGTTTGGGCAGCTAAAAAGATGAAAATTATGAAGAGTTTATAAAAAGTATCAGGCATAAAAAAATTGAAGAACTATCTATGCTTTTCAGGCAAAATTAATCCAGTTGAGGTAAGATGAATGTTCCGAGAACCAGAACAAATATACTGATTTTATGGCTCAACTGCTTCCAGCTTTTGCCATCGTAAGAAATCAGATACAAAAAGCCACATTTTATCCAATCAAATAAAATCAAATCTTTTATTTGATTCCTGTGCACACTTGACACATTCCCACCATTTTAATACTTTTTTTTTTTTTTGCTTTCTGTCACTTCAAAATTTTCCAAACATTTTCTATCTCCCATGCCTACACTTAGCATTAGCCATTTCTTCAAGGAACTCTGGTTATATTTATTGAAGAACTTTATTAGAAACCCAGGACATCTGTGGAAGCCGGGTGTGCTCATTACTACCTGGGAGTTATTGTTTCTGGTTCCCTGGTTCCCTCAGCTGAATGAAGTGGGAGATGAATGTGTATATGCAAATCTGTCTTCATGAACATTTCAAATTACATCTCTCCAGTTTATATGTGTCTGCATTGATCTAAGCATCAATTCATAGTGACATTTCCTATTCTTATGCAGCACCATATACTTCACTAGAAAACCCCCATCAATCATCTAACTTCCACTTTATGAAACATGCTTGCCACTATTTACTGAACAATATTTGTTCTTTCCTGTTAACCTGTACCTTTATGAGAAATATCTTTATCAACTGTAATAAATTATGCAATTCATTTTGTCTCTAATCCTGCATCTCTACTTATTTCCTAAGTTCCTTAGGTCAACACCTTTCACCTCCAAGTCCTTCACTGAGATGATGCCATAAGTGTCTTGAAAACTACAGAGACCTCTACAGAGCAACTTTCACTAATAATTACAAATAACTAACTATTGCTCCAAGCCTTCAGGAAACAACAAGGATTGAAATCATGGTTTTAAACATTTTAGTTATCATTTTCAGATAGGAAGTTGTTATCATGAAGACCTGCTAGAACTGTATCCATGAGGCTTTAATTTCTAGTCCTTTATCTAATAATTACTACTTTTTCAGCAGAGAGATTATTATACACAAGGGAGCTATTGACAGTTTCATATGAAAGATGAAAAAAAAAAAACAAGATTTAACTGCTCTTACATCCCAACAGCTCATCCCTGATGAGAGGAAATCCTGAGAGAACTTCCACCTCTATATTTTTATAACATATATTATGGATCAGAACTCTAGACAAAAATTGAAATCATTTTGGTGAGTATCTTGGGTAGTACTTTGAGGAAGCTACCAGGAGGAATTGTGGCATTTAATTTATAATATGTAAGTGAGCTCCTTGTATATTGAAATCTGCACTTTAATTCCCTAAGGGAATCAGAGCCGAGGAGTCTCTATATTGAACTGCCACCACCAAAATCATTAAGAGTTAGTTCCCTCAGAGCATTTGGTCTAAAGCTAATGTATAACCTGGATTCCTGTTTCCAAGTAGAGAAAGACTGAGTATCTGAATTCCAATTATTCTATATCCTTTTACTCTCAGAAGAGGACTTTCATGAAGTTGAGCCCCCTTACAATATAACAGTGATTTCTTGCATCTACCTGAAAATGATTGTTCATCCTTTCTGCAAAAAATATGAAGGCAGAAAATTATCTTTTTCATAATTCAACTCATACAGCTTCCAGGTACGTTTAATGGTTAGATATATAAAGATGAAACATATCTCTATGGCTATAGAGCTTCCATTTGAGGCGTCATACAATAAATACTATTTGTTGTTACTGTCATGTAGATACTTGGCTTGAATTATTTTAATCTAAATATTCAATATTCCTGAATAATTGCAATCTATAAACCACCACCATATAATACCCTTCCAGAATTAATCACAATTCACCAGATACAGTTTCTCTTGGGTATCATTTTGGATACTCTCTTCCTTATAAAGAAATTACTGGTATTTATAGGTGTTTTTTCTCTGGATCCAGGGATTTTGATATGAGGAACTGTGAGGTCATTGCATCCCTACTTTGAATGTTGCTCAGAGCTCCCTCATTTCTACTTATATTTCTACATTCAGGTTCGCTTAAAAAGCCTTCACTGACCCCATTCTGAGCTAACACCATAATAACCGTGTTCCTACAGGACCCACACAGTCATATGCAGCACAGTAGTTAGTCAGCCCTTTCTGTCCCCCTCAAGATGGTGTCATTCTGAAAATCAGGAATTCTATACATTTGTGTCCACATGCTGAATGCCCACAGCAAACGTTTGGTTTATCCCTGTCAAATTTGTTTTAATATTAGGATCTTATCTAAGGACTATCATTAAATTTAAAGTTATAAAGATATAGTCTTATGCTTTTTTTCTAATATTGTAATAGTGTTAGCTCTTACATTTAGTTCTATGACACATTTTGAATTATTTTTTTGTTAATTGTGTGAAAAAAGCACCCAAGTTAATTATTTTACATGTACCCATCAAATTGGGCTAGTGTCATTTGTTGAAAAAAAATATTTTACCTATATGTAAGTGAGCTCGTCATATATTGAAATTCACATTTTAATTCCCTAAGGAAAAGACAGCCCCAGAGTCTCTATGTTGAATGGCCATCACCAAAATCATTGAGAGCTAGTTCCCTTAGAGGCCTCCAAAGCTAATGTATAACCTGGATTCATATTTGATTGTCATGAATCCTTATGACTATTTAATTCTTCATAGATGTGAGTTTGTATCTGTATTGTCAATTCTGCTTCATTTCTCTATATATCTGTACTTATGACAATGCCACACTAACTTCATCACAGTTATATTGTAGTAAGTTCTCAAGTGAGAAATGGGATGTCTCCAAGTTTGTTCTTCTCCTCTTTCAAGTTTATTTTGATTATTCTGTGTCACTTGCATTATCCTTGGAATTTTATGACCAGTGTGTAAATGTTCGTCATAATAAAGCTGAGATTTTGATAGGGATTGCACTAAACTTATAGATCAATTTGGGAAGTACTGCTATTTTGACAAAATTGAATATTATTGATTCACTAATATGGTATGTTTTTCCATTTATGTAGCTCTTTCATTCTGTTTATGGATGTTTTGTAAATATAAGTTTAATGTCTTGTGTTTCCTTTAATTTATTGTCAAAAATTTTATTTTTTTCATGCCATTTCAAGTGTATTATTTTATTGTTCACTGCAAACATACGGATATACATAAGAATTTTTCTGTAGACTTTGTATTCTGCCATGTTGGTGAACTTTTAAATTTTCATCTAATAGTTCCTTTCTATTGGTTCCTTGGGATTTTTCTATGGACAAGATTACAACATTTTATAAGTAGGAATAGTTTTACTTCCTACTTTCAAATCTGAATGTCCTTTACTTTTATTTTCTTGCCTGATTTTACTATCTAGAGCTTCTAGTATAATGTTGAATAAAAGTGCAGGGTGTGAGCATCTTGACATGTTCATTACCTCTGGGGCAAAGTCTTTCAGTCTTTCCCTTTTCAGTGTCATATTAGCCATGGATTTTTATAGATGCTTTTTTTTTATTTTCACAAAAATTTTTGCCTCTTCCTCTTCTTCATAGGAATCTACACGTTCATTAGAATTAATGCCTGAAGAGTTACTGGAACAAAGTTCCCAGGACAGTTATTGAGATTATCAGGGACTAATCACCACTATTTTATCAGAGAATGCAAATGAGGAAAATTCTGATATTTGTTAACATGTCTCATGTTTTGGGGATCTCAAGGTTTTTAACGACAAACACAGTTGAGCAGTTGGCAAAAAAAAAGAAAAAAAATGGCCACAACTGGATGGAAAGGTTTGAATTATGGTTCACACTTGAGTGTGGGATGAGATGATAAATACATATATTAAATTTGTTTCACTTCCTCCATAGAATTCCAAGAAGAAAATGACACAAGGAAACCATTCCACCACAGTGACAGAATTTATCCTGGCTGGATTAACAAACAAACCAGAGCTCCAGCTGCCCCTCTTTCTCTTCTTCATAGGAATCTACATGTTCACTGTGGTAGGGAACCTGGGCATGGTCATGCTGATTGGGCTCAGCTCTCACCTGCATACACCTATGTACTATTTCCTCAGCAGTCTGTCTTTCATTGACCTCTGCCAATCCACTGTCATTACCCCCAAAATGCTGGTAAACTTTGTGGTGCAGAAAAACATCATTTCCTACCCTGAATGCATGACTCAGCTCTATTTCTTCCTAGTTTTTGTTATATCAGAATGCCACATGTTGGCTGCAATGGCATATGACCGCTATGTTGCCATCTGTAACCCTTTGCTTTACAATGTAACCATGTCTTCTCAAGTCTGTTCTGGTTGATAGTTGGAGTGTATAGCATGGGATTGATTGGTGCCACAGTTCACACAGTCTGCATGCTAAGAATACTATTCTGTAAGGTTGATAAAATAAACCATTACTTCTGTGATCTTTTCCCACTATTAGAGCTATCTTGCTCCAGTACTTTTGTCAATGAGGTAGTAGTTCTGTGTTTCAGTGCATTTAATATCCTTGTCCCAATCCTGACCATCCTCAGCTCCTACATCTTCATCATAGCCAGCATCCTGCACATTCACTCCACTGAAGGCAGAGCCAAAGCCTTCAGCACCTGCAGCTCCCATGTCTCAGCTGTTGCTCTCTTCTTTGGATCTGCTGCATTTATGTACCTGCAGCCATCATCAGTTAGCTCAATGGACCAAGGAAAAGTGTCTTCTGTGTTTTATACTATTATTGTGCCCATGCTGAACCCTGTAATCTATAGCTTGAGGAATAAGGATGTGAAACTTGCCCTAAATAAGTTACTTGAAAAAAGAAGTATCCCATGAAAAAGAGTATTTTACTTTAGCAAAAAGTTACAATTCCTGGAGGTTTATAAGGAAGCAGTCCAGATATAGCAACGTATATCTACAAGTCATGAGATTACTATTCCTACTTGATTTCTTGAAAGAAAGGTGTCAAATGTAAGACTGGACTTATGGGATCAGACTCATGGAGGATAGCACCTGTTCAGGATGCCCCATTATCCATCTATGCAGAGTAACCTGTATCACATCTGAACACATTTATAAAGCTTCAAAGTACTGACTAGGGTTGATAATGCCTTTTTTGTATGAAACATAGCTCATTTTAGGTATAAATTATTTATATTTGTCTGGAGAATAAATACATTTGGTCAATATCCTTGATATTCTCATTACATTGCATATATGTCATTTTAAACTAACCATTTAGGCTAACATTTCTGAAAGTGTCATCTCTAAATTAAATACTTTCAATAATTTATAATATATAAAATATTATGCAAATTCTTAGTAAGCTTGTAGAACTCTACTAGAAAATAGGCATGTTATGAGAGATAAATTTGTTCCAACCCACAAGGAGATATCATTCTACTGGGAAAGACTGACAATAATAAATATGACTAATAATATCATGCATATTTTGACATAAATCTTTGCAATATTCCTTGCTCCCCAGTTTATGGGTGATGCTACTACCTATATTTTATACTCATTTCTCTAACCCAAAAAAACAATTTTTTCCAACATTCTTTATGGAATCTCAGGTTTAAAAATGACAGTCTTTTACTAGTGTACTCATATGAATTATTGATTTAAATGGAAAAATTAAAATAAGAAAATTATATTCTGACTAATAATAAATACCCCTCCTACTTCAAGATCAATAATAACTCTGGGGGGAAAAATGATTCTTTTGAGGGGACAGGGAAAGACCCTTTCAAGCAATAAATTTGCTTCTCTCCCCCTTCCTCATTTAAGCTTTCATTAGTACTCTTGTAAACAGCAGCCAGAAAACTTGAGTTAGTCTCCTGAGGCAATCATTGTCATTTGTAAATCTCTCTTTTTTCCATTAATCCCATCAGGCGATTAATTCACTAATTGGGTTAAGGCCTTCATAATACAATCTTTCCTCCTTTGAACCTTCTTGCATTGTCTCACACATGAGCTTTTGGGGGGACATTTCACATCCAAACCATAACAGTACAGAATAGAAGACACAGAGACAAACCCACACATCTATAGTCATCTGGCCCTTGACAAAGGTGCTAAAAAGAAACACTGGAGAAAATATAGCCTTTTTAACAAATGGTGCTAGAAAAACTGGCTATCCATATGTAGAAGAATGAAAGTAGACCTTTGTTTCTCACCCTGCACAAAAATCAAATTAAAATGGGTCAACAACCTAGAAATTAGAACAGAAGAACTATGTAATTCCTAAAAGACAATGTAGGCTCCACACTCCAGTTTTTAGTCCCAGGCAATGACGTTCTCAATAGGACCCCTAAAGCTCAATAAATAATGCTAATTGTTAATAAATGGGATGGCATCAAATTAAAAAGCTTCTGCACAGCAAAAGAAACAATTAAGACTGTGAAAAGAGAATCTATAGAAGAAAAATCTTTCCTAGCTACTCTTAGGACAGAGGATTAATATCTAAAATATACAAAAATCAAAAAATTGTACATCAAAAAAATCAAATAACCCAATTAACAAATAGAGTAATGAATTAAAAACATTTTTTAAAAGAATACAAATGTCTACAAATATATGAAAAACTGTTCAACATTATTAGCAATTAGGGAAACACAAATCAAAATTACACTGAGATTTCATTTCACATTAGTCAGAATAGCAATCATCAAGAATACAAATAACAATAAATGATGGAGAGGATGTGCAGAAAAAGGAACACTGTTGGTAGGATTATAAGTTAGTACTATGAAAATCAGAATGGAGGTTTCTCAAAGACTAGGCATGGAACTACCATATGACCCAGCTATACCATTCCTCAATATTTATAAATAAAATAATTAAAGTCATTGTACTACAGAGATACATGCATACCTACTTTTATAGCAGCACAATTCACAATAGCCAGACTATGGAACCAGTCTAGATGTCCATCAGTGGATGAATGAATAAAGAAAATATGTACACACAGTGGTGTTTTATTCAGTCATAAAGAAAAATAAAATTAAATGATTGGTTGGAAAATAGATGGAACTAGAGCCCATCACATTAAGTAAAATAAGTCAAGTTCAGAAGCTCAAGACTCAAATTTTCTTTCATATGTGGAAACTAGAGTGGAAAAAGGAAAAGAAAGACAGGGAGCAGAGGCCTAATGAAAATCAAAGAGAAATCAATAGAGGAAAGGGAAGGAGGGAGGGGGTTTGTGTTGGGAGTGATGTTGGACAAATCATAGTGTTATATTGTGTGTGTGAATGGATATTTAACAAAAAAAATCACATCATTATATACAACTGTAATGCAAATTGTGAGAAAAAAAGAAGAGAAAATACTATTTTACAACAGTGATTACAGTGTACTTTATTCTGGCCATTCAAAAAATAACAAAAATCATAGCTCTATGGTAGATGTAATCTTTAATTTTGCATAATTTTAGCCTGACCTAACCATAATATACCTCATTTGTCATCTATCTTATTTCTTCTGTTACTGAGACACCCTAATCACAACTTTAAAGTCTGGATTACAAATGTATGAACATGCCATGTTTATGTTTTCTAACATAGCTGCTGCTCTGCCTTTTGTTCTAGTTTGTACTTGCCTGCTTGTTGTCCAGTGGTACAGGGATATAATCTCCATGAGGGCACCTTCTCCACATTTCATTGCCAGACCTCCAGGAATATGAACACTCTCTGCCATCCAATAATCACTTACAATTCTCTTATTTGTTTCTTATATTAAGAAGAAAGTGTGTATCTCATGGCATAGGCATTAAACTCTCACTAATCTCAAATAGCTATATATGCCTTTTTAGCCTTCACTTTGTTAAGCTTTATTTTGAAGAATTCTTCCAGGATTTGAAAGATAATGAGGACATTCTGAACTATTGAATATGAAGATTTTGAATTAGTAGTCTTGAGCTCTTTCTGAAGCAAATCTTAGTGCAGATATGATAACTTTTGAATATTCCCTTCCCAACAAACAAGGAGCTCTTGAGTACTCATGTTTTCTGGATTTTCACTCATGTCATAAAAGTGTTAAAAAATAATCAGTATGTTTGAAAAGGTGTTTGACACCTGATGAATAAATATAGCAAATCTTGTAGTAGAATGTTAATTGGAACTCAACCCAATCAAGAGCACCACAATTCTCCATACCCAGTGTAGAGCATAATTTCACCTATACTGGCATTTAAAATTATTTGCTATATCAATATTCAGGACATGATATGATAGTAAGATAAACTACAATGGAATTTCTAAAAATAAAAAGAGAGCACAATATTGTTAGTATAATAATCTGCATTGCAATACCCAGAAGAAATATTTTATGTGTCTTTCTTTGAGAGCTGGGGAGAGTTAAATTGCTTTGGTTTTATTCTAGGTAATGCTGCCTATTTTGTTTACATATGTTTATTCATAGACACTTACTGGTCTAAACTATAGTTTGTCCGAACTCTCACTTGAAGGAATGTAGTTGAAAGATACATAGTGCTATAGGGCTATCCCCTGGGAGCTCTGAAATTATGTCATATATAGAACTGAGCAAGGGAGAAGGGTGAGCTTCCTTGCCTGAGAAAATTTTCCAGATGTGGAGCCTGTGAATCTGAGCCCATGAGGAACTTATTGTCAATCTATTTCTTTCACTTAACACTGAGTTAAGTGATTTCTCTAAGCTATTGTCTTATCTATTACGAGTAGTGATCATGAGTGAAAAATGCACCAGAATCTCTTAGGAGAATGTACCCCTCTTGCTATAGGGACTTAAAGTTATTTCTTCAGTAAATACATCTTTGAAACTCCACCTAACTTATTCTTCCATATAGTACCTCTGTCTTCTTGCAGAAAAAAAAAAGTCTGTTTCTTATGAGCCTGTTCTGCTTGTAGTGATTATGGGATAATTTGATACTTATTATTCTTTATTTCCCTTCCTTCAATTGACACTTAGCTCCAGTAAGGCAGAGAATACATGCTCAAGTATTTATGGATGACTATACCAAACTTTCCTGCTCCCCATGTCATGTTCTCTCAGACTACCTCACATTTCAGCAGATATGTTGTGCATATGTTAATCCTTCAAAAACCAATCCCAAACTTGCATTGGTGATAGTTCATTTCAAATCTGCAACAAGAGCTTTTCACTTTCACTCTGAAAACCTCTCCACACTCTAGGTGCCCACTTTGCATATATCTGAGTCAGACCAAGGAGTTCTTGCCTTGTGGTTAGCCCTGCCCAGTAGGACAGAGACTGTAAGAACACCACATCTTCCTGTCACTCTGGGCCTCATCTTGGGAAATTGTATCTACTCCCAGGAGGAGGGGGCATAATTGAATCCCAATGGCCCATAGCAGTACCTCATGTCACACTTCAAAGTTAGTTTTCCCTTTTTCCCAAATCTGTTAAAAAAAAAAAAAAGCTTAAAAATGAACAGATTAAAATTCCATATTTCGCAATAATTTCAAGTACCTCAAGGTAAATTTAATTAAAAAATATAATTATTATCTCAAAATTAAATTTATGAACATTTTTATAAGAACTTCAAATATAATTTTTATTTTTATTTTAACAAACAACTTACTCTTTACATAGAACCAAAGTTGTGCCTATTATACACATATTTCCACTTTTCCTTAACATTTATTTTTTATTTCTAGAAGAAAGAGAATTTATTCTCTTTCCTTAAGAACTTCTAATGAATTTATGGCATTGTCTAACAGATGTAGGGGTTCTGTGTTTGGAATTGAGGTCTCTGATAACTTCATGACTGTGGCATGCTTGGTGGCTAGGAAATTTCTGTGCAAAGACACAGCATGCCTGGCTGCTGGGAAAACTTTCGT